TGCAATGAGCTATGATTGTGCCACTGCACTCCAGTCTGGGCAACGGACTGAGACCTGTCTCTTTAAAAAAAATAAACTAAGTTGTGTCTGTTAGAAAATTTGAAAACATACAACATACAACATATTTTATAGGTATTAATATTATTAGTGAATATATAGTTCTATCTTTATAACTACATTATGCAGCAATGACTTTCTGACAGTTGGTTGCCTTAGATGTTATTTACTAAATTATCTGATTATTAATTTGTCAAAATAAGAATGTAGTCATACAATGTTAATTTAGATGCTATGTATTTATTCTTTTTAACATTTATATGTATACATTTTTGAATGGTTTTGTTGTCTTACAGATCTTTTGTTGTCTTACAGATTCATTATGTTTTAAAACCAGATGGAGTATTTATTGGTGCAATGTTTGGAGGCGACACACTCTATGAACTTCGGTGTTCCTTACAGTTAGCAGAAACAGAAAGGGAAGGAGGATTTTCTCCACACGTTTCTCCTTTCACTGCTATCAATGACCTAGGACATCTGCTTGGGAGAGCTGGCTTTAATACTCTGACTGTGGTAACTATCAAGAGAATCAAGTAACCCATTAATTACACAGTTCAAAAACAACTTCTTTTCATCGTAAAGATAGAAAACTGTACATATTCATGGTTTTGTGGAAAGATATTAGCACTTTCACTCTCTTCTTTTTTAAGGGAAAAGATATTATTTAACATGTTTTGTTTATATAAATACATCTTAATTGACACAAGGTAGGAATTAGAAATTTTTAGTATTTGTTACCTGAAAAAGTAGCTCAAGAAAATATACCATAGTTAACAAGGAGACAGTTTTCTGAACATACTACTCCATCGGAATCCTCCAATTCAGAGTTAGGTCTAATATGGGAGTTAGAATGTTCCAGATGATAGAATAAAAGGGGATATACAGGGGCATTTATAGTGTTACTACCAGCCCTCATTTAAAACAATGCCATATGAAACAAATGAGAGAATGTACATTCTCAAGGCCTAGGGTTAGATCAAGGTTAGAGAAGGTAGAACCAGGTGATCCACTCCATTAGGGCTTGAAAGAAGACCCATAGGCAGTCAGTGCAGAAGAACCATGAAGTTAGCATGGTACAGTGATGGGTTAGGGCCTTGGTGTCCAATGGGAGTAACTTGTGTCCTTACCCTACTCCTTTACTAGCTAGAGCAATTTGGGTAATTTACTTCACCTTTTTGAGCATTTATTTCTTTCAGAAATGAACATTTGTTACTTACCTCAGGTGAGTAGTAAATAAGATAAAGGATTTGAAGTGCCTGGACCATGGTAGATGCTCAGTAAATATTAGCTCCTCCCTTCCTTTTTCTCCATCCCTGTACTGCTAGCAGTTCCCCAGGACTAGGCTTCCAAGAGACAGTCATCTGGAGAGACCATGATTGCCTTCTTCCACTCACGCCAATAACATTCTAAAAGAC